AGAAGCCCTCCCACTGTTGACCCCCCCCCCAAGCACCAAGAAGACAGAGCATCACTTGCCCCAGAGTCCCTATCTATACCTTGTGGCTAATAGCCACTGATGGACCTCTGCTCCATATGCTTATCTAATTCCCTTTTGAAGCCGTCCATGCTTGTAGCCGCCACCACCTCCTGTGGCAGTGAATTCCAAGTGTTAATCACTCTTTGGGTGAAGAAGTACTTCCTTTTATCTGTTCTAACCCGACCGCTCAGCAGTTTCATGGAGTGCCCTCAAGTTCTTGTATTGTGAGAAAGGGAGAAAAGTACCTCTTTCTCTACCTGCTCTTTCCCATGCATAATCTTATAAACCTCGATCATGTCACCCCTCAGTCGTCGTTTCTCCGAGCTAAAGAGCCCTAAGCGCTTTAATCTTTCCTCATAGGAAGTTGTTCTGAAAGTCTTTCCATCACTCCACTGCATGCTGCTGAAAGACTTTCTCTCTCTTAAGTGCCAGGCCAAAACATTTTTTTTTCCACCTAGGCTTTTAACTAAGGGGTTTGAAAACAATCTTTTACAACTGTTTTCATGGTCTGGTTTAGCCTGAGGGCTGTCTTTTGTGTTTACCGATTTGTTTTGGGTGGCTTGTTTGAATCACTTTGTGGTTTTATTGTATTGTTCTAGCTGTACGCTGCCTCAAGCAGGTCTCCGAAGAGGAGGAGGCTGAAGTTGCTTCCCAGTTCCTTATCCATTCCTTATTCATGATTTATTCCTGAATTCAGCCAAAGAACATTGAGGAGAGTCTAAAGGCCCTGAACCCTAAAATAAAGTTGGACCAATATACATCATACACCCCTACATTCCTCAATGTTTTTTGGCTGAATCCATGAATAAGTCACAAATAAGGTACGAATAAGGAACTGGGAACCAACTTCAGCCTCCTCTGGAGAGGTGGTATATAAATTTGCTAAATAAATAAAAATATAACCATAGGGCTGCCAACTACAGGTTGGGAAATTCCTGTAGATCTGAGGGTGCAGCTTGAATAAGGCAGGGTTTTTGGATGGGAGGGACCTCAGCAGGGCATAATGTCATAGAGTCCACCCTCCAAAGCAGCCATTTTCTCCAAGGGAACTGACCTCTGCGGCTGGAGATAAGTTGTAATTCTGGGAGATCTCCAGGTCCTACTGGAGGTTGACAAACCTAACCATAGGGCCTGCTCCACACATCCCGTAGGACACAGGGCCAAAGCTCTTGGGGATTACTTCTAAGTATACCTCCCACCGACACTGCAATGTTAACTATTTTCTCTGGTGGAGATAATGAGGTAGTCTGAGGTATCTGAAGAAGAATTTCTATTCTGTTGTCGAAATTAAGGACAGAATCGAACTCACAGATGCATCATAAAGCACAGGAACTGCGACTGCAAACCTGCCTGCCTACCTGGCCATTGATTGCTTCAGAAACCCAGCCCAGGTAAACTTTCAACTGCCTTTCTGTTGTTCACGTGTGAGAGGGGCTGAACGGTTCTTTGACTGGCATATGTTTTGGGTATGACCCCACAAACACACACACGCACACACATAGACCCTCCTGTTTTTGAACTGTTCAAAGGGCACATAAATGACAGTTCTTAAAATCAGGCAAAGTTAATGTTTTATGATCAGCATCTCCTCCCTTTACAATCATTGGCTTTCGTTTCTGAAGTTTCAGCCGGCATTTGCTGTGGGGTTCTGAATGTTTGTTCGGGAAGGGCGTAGGGCTGGGAGGAACAGCATCAAGAAATACAAACAAACCCGCTCGGTTTCGTATTTTATTTGTATGGTGGCTAAAAAAGATAGGGGAATGGTCTTTTTCATCATGAAAGCCACTGCCTGCAAACCATTTCTACTGGTCCCTTAGTCCCTTTGGCAAAGCTAGTCTGATCAATCTTGTATGGTTCCTGATCTATTCTGGGTGACCCAGTCGGAAGCCTTTGACTAGCTCCCACATTTTACACAGCTCATCAGATCTCCCGGCATTTTTTGCAAAGCAATGGCCACCCAGTTTTTAAAGGAAATTGAGAATGCAGATGCTAAGAAACCTTCAGAAATGAGGACCCTGGTGATTAAGTGGA